TTTATGCTATTTTATTAAAGTTCTTCTACCCATCAGTAAGAATAGAACAAGCCTAGCCCTTTTCTTTGTTAATCAGGAGTGTAGTTTGGCAGCTTGTCATGATTATTACTCAACTGGTTAGTATTTATCTACTGGCACTGGGTATCCTCTGTGGACACACAAAATAAACTCAGGTCACACTTCATATGAAAATTAATAATAATATATTTTTTAAAGAATCATGTTTCCTGTAAAAATGAACATTGAATTTCAGCATGGTGCACTTTTAACAGGGAAACCCCTTGGAATTGCTTACTCTGCGCTGCAATGGACAGCACCGTAATAAAGCATCTGCTGTTATATTTCATGTTACATAATCACAACTCGTAATCCGATGGAAAGCAAAGAAAACGAGAAAATAAAACGACACTGAACACATACACAATAAGCTTACACAATTAGTGCCAGTTAGCCCTTTAAATTCAATTATACACTACATCCTTAGGTCAGGGATTTCATGGCGCTGTTCCTATTTACTGTGCTGCATTTTTGTAAATGTAGAAAGATCACATAATTACATAATATTACGCAATGTGAAAGATTCAGACTTCAGGGTAATCTGTTGCAAACTGTGCCAACAGGAACGGAATCCAGTCACTTTGACAGTTATACGAATTAAAAACTTCAAACTGTGTAAAAAGTTCATTCATAACTGAATGCCCAAAATGGGCTCATCCTGTTTAGACTAGGATCCCATGACTGCAGCATGAGAATACCAGGAAAATTTATGACATGAAATTATTAAACAACTGAATATTTCCCTTTAAATATAAACAGCAGAGTAGACCTGGATTTAAACAGATGTTTTGGTTTTTAGTGTTAATGAAAGAAAGCCTATTTCAATATGCAGATGTTAAAATATGCAATATTATCCCCAAACACAGTCCCTTCACACTAAGTATCACATGTTAATTACGCACTGGCAGCATAGATCTGGATAAGTCTTCATTGCCTTAATCAACAGCCCTGCTTATGTTAATGGTTCTATGAATTTGAAGGAACAATGAAATATTATTTAACCTTAAGGCAATATACTTAGAAACGTCCTACTGCATGGTCAGTGTAAACCTTTGCTTTTAACGGACATTCACTTAACAGACACCCAGCTCACTTCCTACTTCGTGATCCGCGGTTCCAAAGACTTTATAGCGCTGCCTTCACACGGCTTCAAGGGCCAAGACGGGAAAATGCAAGCAGTCCTCTGGATCAGTTCATTGTCCTTGAAGACTCAATAGACCTCAAGCTCTCGTTTCATGAAGGGTCATGTGCTAATGAGGAAAAGGGGGCTTTGCTCGTCGGTCTAGGGGATACATCTGGGACAAGGACAACTCTCATGTCCAATAATCGGGTTAGCGCTGTGCAGCTCGGGGCTTCCTGGGTGCCGGGGGAGGACAGGGACCTGAGTTATGAAGCATTTTTATTTGTAACGCTTGACCTTTCTTTTGGCATTTACACGCAGTACGGTTTTAGAGTACCACACTCTCCCTTTTTAAGTGGTTTCCGTTGAGCGGCGGGATCTGACAAGCTGGATTATCAGGAGCTAAGAACATTCTTAATGTTCTGCAGCCCCCCCCCCCCCCGATTATGACATTGTACTCAGCAGCCGACACATTTCTTAAGGGATTAAGAAGCCGAATGCCCCAAGAGGAGAAGCGATAAGGTTTGACCTAACGCATTATCCGTGCAGTTACTGAACAAACTGAAGCAGGTGTACTTGTGTTCATTTCACTCAGCCAGCTGATATATCATATGTACTGTAGTCTCGATAAAGGACTATCTCACCCCCCCACTGACCCAGCCGTCCTGACCCCTCAGAAATTTTCACTCATTTACATCTTACTCATATATGGATTTGGAATGAGAATACACAAATCTCTTACAATAACATGGTATATGTTTAAATGAAACCCAAACACGGCAATGTTGGTTGTTCAAGTCACATGCAGCACTTATTTGACTCCACAGTTTACGGTATATATTCCTAGTGAGGGCAAATACTTCACAGTGTGTAGCAATTAGAGGCTCTTTTCTCTCTCGTTCTGCCAGCCTCCCTCACTTGCAGAGCCTCTCACTCTTCTCCTCATCGCCCTCCCAGCTGCCAATGGTGTGCGAACATAAAGCAGCTTAGGGGTGAGCCATCCTGAAACAATACGGCATAATGACACACTGTAAGTCTGCGATAACAAATTCCCTCTCTGTTTCAAAATGGCGCCTCGTCTAATTTCGCTCAAATGGCAGTTAGGCTACATAATCTATGAAGATTACCGTCTTCATGGACAACATGTTTGGCTTAATGTTCCTGAATTGGAGCTGCTTCTCGCACTGTTTTGCAATGGGGACACAATAAGGAATACTGTATTTTAAACCAAACCTTTTGATTATACCCCTTTGTTGTATTGTTTTAGCTTTCAAAAAAATAAATTAATCTGACATTTTATGTAGGCAGCTAGCCTCAATGTTTAAAATGCTGTAAAACCCAGTGAAATCCAGCAGAAAGACCCAAAAATCACAGCTAAAATTTGCTAGCTACCTTTTGATATTAAGTAACATGAATTTATTACAAAGCTACTGATTATAAAGCAAAAACCAATAATTACCTACAACACCAATAAATGTTTTCATTGAGAGAGGCATTATAAATCTCACAAATCACAGGAAGATGACTATTGTAGTCATTTCACATTCCTGTGTTATAGTACAGACAGGGTTTGTCAGCCTGTCTATACACAGACAAACGTGACAGTGGCAAGACTCATCTGTGTCTATGGTAAAATGTTTTGATTGAGAAAAAAAATGCATGTTGATCAAAATGTCTGTCCAAATGTGCCATAGTGTTGACCCCGACCTACAGACCCACGTAGTTCACTTTCTTTGAACAACAAATGCTCAGTTAGTTTAATATCAACTTTTAAATAAGTCAGTTTATACCACTAGTTTCTAATGTCCAAATACTTAATTTGTAATGTATAATATTATGTTAATACAACATGTGTGATGAGTAAGTTGTAAACACTTGGTCCCGATTAACCAAGGAATTAGTTTCACCTTTAACTGCATCTGCCAGATGTTTTCCTCTGAATGATATGCACCCGAGAGGTCTTCAACTTTAATATTAAAAATCATTGTTTATAAAGTTATTTTTGGAGTTTAATCTTATTATTTCCATCTTCCATTAATGAAAATACATTTCAATGGCTTATCACAATTTTTAAGATTAGTACTTTGTTCATGTATAGCCAAAGGACTGTTATTTTATTTTTTGATAAACTGGCCATTGTCTTAACCATTGGAGCATGCTAATATATCACCTCTTTATAGAAGTTTTACTTATTGAGAGCTCTAAAACCAGGTTGGAATTGTGATGCTTATTATGATTATTTAATGCATGCATAACTATATCATTTTAGACCATAAATCCCCATCCTTTAATATTAAATGCATATCACAAATTGTTAGTTATAAATGTCAACTATTTATATCTTACAAAAGAATGGGATTTTAGTTGTTATTCTTAGGTTATTAAGTACACACCTATGAAATAAAGAGTCCTCTTTCATTCGTGTTTCATTCTCCGGGTGTTAATTTCATGTCAGGGTGGTTGCCATGGAAACCTCAACTTTTCCGAGTAGCCCACTTAATTTGCAAAAAAAAAATATATAATTTTTGGCAAAACAATATACCTTAAACTGACAGTTTGGAGATTTTTCATAATTCGTTCACTTTTGCGTGCTTCTATTTATTAGAAATTTTTATGTGTGTGTTCTATTGTTACTTGTAAATTTTTAATATATGTAGTTTTTTTTCGAAGTAGTGACACCTTCCAAAACGCAATCTATAGCCTATAGACAGGCATAATCACATTGCAGTTCCAAAGTGATGAATTTCAATGAAGTCTGTTTTCTATGTGAAAGTAATATCTCATAGGATTAGTGGGATCTAATTGTTCTGGTTATTGATAGCTCCACTCTCAGCTCCACTCTCGGTCACATGGTAGGTGGCCTTCCCCTCAATGGAATTTAATTAGATCAGGCATTGAAATCTGTTCAAGACAGACCAGAAGTAGCACTGGTTTGAGTGACCAACTTTAAAAAAAACTTCGCTGGAATTCTGATTGACTGAGATCAGATAAGTAGCCAGAGCACCAAAGGACACCGGATATTTGCTTGGACGCTATAACTTAGGAATTAAACGTGATTTTTAGACTTTTGGGTAGCGCCTAAAATTGTGGGATACGGTGTAATCCATGAGACGCGCATAACACTCATAATTTGCAAAATAAATGAAGAATCCATCATGTGTTTTCTTTCACCACTGACAAGTACAACATTTCTGTTGTAAGCATTGACAAGGTCTGAGCAATGAAACTAAGTCGCAACACACTTACCATTGCACTGCTGACAAGCAAATTCTTATAATTTATAGTTAAACGGTACATTGATTCGAAACAGATGAGAAGTCACTGTGTATCATATACGAACAAATATGCATTATTCAGTAAATAATAGATCTTTTGATAAAACTGTATACTGTTTATAAGAGCGACATATCTGTTTCCGTAATACAGCTCTGTTAGCAAAGTTTCTTAAAATCCTGGAAAAATACTATTACTGTAACATCAGTAGATTCGTATCATCAAATCAATCGTAATGAATTTTGAGTTATTGAAAATTAATCATATATATTGAATATTAATCAACATATTGTTTCGGCGAGTCCTTGAAATGTAATTTTTCTTCACTCTGATCAGCAAGCGTACTGCTTTTCCAGAACAGTGTCCTGCAGGTTGGTTATAATACATTGCGGCCTAAATTACATTACATTGTTTTGACTGGTTTTTCTGCAGAATCAACACGGGCCCGTCTGAGAGAAGCGAAACTATCACGCCGGCAATAAAAAAAAAAGAAGACAGGGTAAAATAAGAAAAGAAAAAAAGCAGGAAGTTTCGGTGAGGACTCAGCGCTTATTGCGCATGCGCTTTCTGCCTGGGAAAGATTACCAAAGCTGCAGCCACCGCTATGGGTACAAAGCTGTTTTAGGAGACAGAAAAACAGAGCGTTTGTTTAAAAAAGAAAAACAAGGGAGGGAAAAAGTTCAATTTTAAGTTACTAAAATTGCACACAAACAAAGGGAGCGAAACACATCAGGTATTTAGGGATCTGTTCCTGCTGGAAGAGTGAAAGAAAGGTTTGTAAATAATTTTTATTTAAGATTTTAAACAGTGTTTTGATAAATATGACACCTAAGGTAATGTTTCTGGAAGACCCAGCGAATGTCTCAAAAAATTGTCGATCGGGCATATATAGCCTTTCAGCCTCTTGATTACACTCCGAGCCACCCGTAGTGAAAAATGTTGGTGGGCCTTTGTTTCAGAGTAGTGCTTGTTTTTGACTGTGGAGAATTAGGCCAAGCTAGCTAGCTAAAGTAAGTGATGTTGCCCCCTCCTGTTCCCCCTGTTGTTTCTCAGCCCTGTTAATATAGGTTAGATTGCCGGTTAGCTACTTTTCGAGGCCCTGTGTCGCGCTCCGCTTAGCTACAGGCTAACGTGCGTTGGCTAGCGGTAGCTTGCTAGCAGCTCGTCTCTTATCCTTCGGACAAGCCCTGGCTAATCAGCCAGAGTGGTTGATGATTAATAAACCAGTTATTAATAGACACGGATGTTGTGTTTTGTGTGTGGGTAAGGAGTGCCATCATGGTGTCTCGTGTCCCCTTTTAAACTTGGGGGCTTCTAAGTGTCCCAGTGGAAGAAGGGTTGGTGTGTTTAAGTATCGAAAATTGGAGAGAAAGTCGAAAGTTTTGTTGTTATTGTTGTTGTCGCCGTCTAGTTTATCTTCCTGTCCCCCCTCTTCCAAACACGCTCTTTCTGTTTCACATTTATACATACAGACACTTTCTCTCACACTCACATACATTCTCTTTCTCTCTCTCTCTCTCTCTCTCTCTCTCTCTCTCTCTCTCTCTCACACACACACACACACGCACACACACACACGTGTCACCTTCACCTAGTTGTTGAACACCAGAGTCTGAAAAAGCAGGTAGTTATACTCATCTGTCATAGAGTTCCCTTTCCTGATAAACAAAACACGCACTTTTAATAAATTTTTACTTTTTTGCACCGAGGTAAGTAAACTAAGTTCACTATGTAAATATAACTGATGTGTATCTGACACTAAAATATATGCGGTTTGACATGTTTGCAGTGTTTTTCTGAAGTGGATGCACAGAGGTTTAGAAACTAACTGGTGCCGTTTCTTTAGGGTTTGTCAGGATTTGAAGTGTCGTGAGATTCATTCTGGTCCATTGCAGGACTTGTTGCAAGCTGAAATGCTTTTAAGGGGGTAAAATAATCTTCCAAATGCCTGAAGTATTATAACATTGTGAAGTTGGCAGTTATGATGCGGCTGTGTGATGGAAATTGAGTTTGTTCATTTCTGCTCCAGAGAGTAAACACGTCTGACGCCTGGTGGCAGGTGATTTTATACAGTGTCATTTCTAACTGATGAGTGTTTTCTTAAGACCCAAATATAGTTATGCGGTTTTCCTAATTACATTGGCACCATTCTGATGCTGCCGCGTTGTTAAGGTGAAAAGTGGTGTTTGCATGACAGTGCTACAATTAGCCTTCTTGGGTGACTTTGTGAAGTGCACCAGGCCCTTTCCACACATGACCGGGCTTTGTGTGTTTGTGGTGTAGCTGTTGGGGCCTTCTGTTTGGTGCAAACGCAGAGTGGACCTTCTTTAAATGTCCTCTCTGACCATTCTGAGCTAACCAAACGAAACCTCACCCTACCACATGACTTTCTTTGAAATCCTAAATACTTTTTACAGATGCGTCAAGTTGTTGGCAAACATTCTCTGTATATATGTGTTTATATCCTTTTCACTGTATGGCAAGTACTTTCTGTACTGTGTGAGTTTGTGTGTGTGTGTGTGTGTGTGTGTGTGTGGCTAGTGACTGTAAATGGCAGATTTTCCCCAAGATCAGTGTTGATTGGCAATAGGTCAATCAGTCTAAATATAGTCAATTTTATGGTTTTATATAGTTCACTAAGTAATGCTACTTTTTGTCGTAACTCAGTTTCCATCCACTGTCATGTCTCCTGCCTCTTACCTTCCCTCCGCTGCTAATATTACTTGATAGTTAAGAGAAACATGCCCATTTGGAGATTCTTTACAGTGTGGGACGAAGACGTTAAATTCGCAGTGTGTAAGACATGAACAAAAAAGTTGTCTACGTCAAAAACATTTGGAACGAGCATATTAATTAGGGATGGGTCAATCCACATTTAATTCCAATCCGATTCTGATACACAATTGCCACTACCGATCCAGATTCTGATGCACGAGCTCTTTTAACTTTAATATTTTAGTATAATAAATATTATATATATAATATTTATACTTTATTATTAATTTTGAAACTAATATATGCAAATGAAAATAACATACATAACGTACTGCTCCACTTTATTTTAAGTTTAAATGCCGTTTTTGAGGCATTTGCAGTTCAATTTGAATGTCTTGAAGAGGGTGTAAGCAAAGGGGCGAATGCTTAAAATGCCCCACAGTTTTTCTCTGACTGGCAACAGCATCACTTGCATTTCATAGCGATAGCAGCCCCTGGTGTGTCACAAGCTGTATCGAGTGCGCAAAACAGCCCAAGCTAGCGACCCCAAAATCATCCATTGCTTTTTTTCATATTACTCACATTGTGTCGCAGTTGCGTGTGCTTTTGAGTAGGATTTTCCACTAAACGCTACTTCCACCTCTCCAAACTTTTTTTCAAAGATTGCAAATGGCTGTGCTACTAGTTGTTGTTGTTAACGTAAAAATACTTTCAGAATGTCACCCTCTTATCTGATGTTCTTACGCTCCTTGTATTGCAAAGGGTATGTGCATGACATCACAGCTGGCAAAAGTCACTGCACTCAAATCCATCGAGTGGCAAAACGCTGAGAGGTAGCATTGGCGTTCACCTTGAAAGACACAAAACACATCTAAAATAGGAAAGATCTGTCCTGCAGTTGATTGTACAAATCAATTTAACAAGAAGTAGGAACCATCTTTTCACAGACTGCCGAAAACTAAATAAGAAAGTATCGGACGTGGATCGGTAACATTTGGCCGATACCCGATCCGTCTAATAGGTCTGGATCGGTGCCGATACTTATGTGGATATTGGATTGGTGCACCTCTATTTAATTTGACACTTGTGTAGCTATTTTTATTTGAAAAGGTTTTTTAAAAAAATATGTTCTTGCAGAAAGCTAAAATTAAACTAGCATTTAAAAACATTTAGTCTGCTAATCATTATTAAACTTAGAAAAAAGTTACAACGCCAGGATCAGTATCGGCAGGTCAGGCTTTAAAAAAAAAAAAAAATTTGGCAGGCGGGATCAGCCAAGGAAAATGCAACCAGTGCATCCCTGGTTTTTTTACTTGCAGAATTTGTATTATTTCAAATAGATGTATTTCAAATCTTCTAGATGGTACTTTCCAGCCACCAGTGCCAGTTAAATAACTTGACGTAATGGAGAACTAATGTATCAAGTTATTTATTTTGTGCAAATAATACCACTAGTTCGGTATGATTTGGTTTGTTTGTTTTTTGAAGAACTGTGTTTTGGAGTACAAAATTCATTACTGTGTGTGTCTCTTTCATGTTCTATAATATTATGACTGCTGTCCTGGTCATTAGCTCCCTTACCTCAATAAGGTAACCATGGCCGATGGACGTTGCAAAAAACACTTTCTTTGAGTCTGAGAATCAGAGCTGCATGCCTATGCGCTGTTTTGTTTTGCTATTATCTTTGCCCTGAAGTTGACGTGCGCTTGCCTTCTACTAACATCGGTGCCATCGCTTAACTCTTGCCTTCAGGACGATGGGTTCCACTGGGATGACCGTAGAGCGTGCGGTTATTACCTAATCGAAAACTGCCTTCTCATCGCAGTCTTCCGGTCACCACTACGCCACCTTCGCATGCGGTTAACATGCGGTGATGTCCTGGGTGATAGCATGAGACATACACCTTCTTCAGCATCTTCAGTAAGTGCGTTGGGGGGATGGGCATTGCAAAATTTCCCTTAAATTATCGTCTGAAATTTTTTCGTCCTTGTGTTACCCACTTAAATTTAATTGTCAGTTTAACACAGTATATTGCCTCAAAATCAGTATTTACGTTCTGAGTCACAAGTGTTCTGGATGAAACCAGTATTTGCATTTGATGGTGCTATAAGAATTTTGTCTGTGTTTTGTGTTCATTGCACAGTCGTATACAAACACTTTATGTTTTTGAAGTGTTTCTCTTTCTCCGACTGAATATGTCATTGTTATACAGGGTGACAATGCTGAATTCTCTGATCTTGTTAGTCTTTCAGGTTCAGTATCATTTGGTTTTCAGCTGTCGGTAAATATCACCCCAATATATTGAGACACAGTTTTTCCAGTATTATTTTGATATTACATTTCCAGTTGTTTAAACTGTCATCTGATGCTTTTAGTCATTTCAAGTTAATTAAAACATTGCTCTTTCATCTTGTCCTCAGTCGACTCCCAGTCATTAAGCTGTTTCAAGCCAGCACATGATGCAGGCGCATGCTTGCATGGAGGAGTGACTGTCGTTGGTCGTAATTACAGACTTGTAATTACAAGATCTATAAAGTAAAAGTGCTCTGTTGTACTGCACATGTCATGCTGGTCACTCTATTTCCAGCACAGGCAAAAGTCACATTGTTGAAGTTTGCTAAATATACGTAAAGGGGATATTAGTGAATAACAGTATGAAACTCCTTAGATAAGGTATTTCTGCAAGTCAAGTGATCTGAAGATAATTTTTTTAGGGTACAGCTAGGTAACCCTAACTCGACTGCGTTATCTCAATGTCAAATACAGACCTGGTAATGGATGTTTTAAACAGACGTAGTACCCAAAAATTCAACAAACAAAGGGACAAGAGACTTAAAAATACAGCTTGAGTACTTTTGACAGGATTAGGACATTTCACTTTTCTGTATATCGAGTTGTTATATAATGTAAATAATAGCACAAATGCATTCTTTTTAATAAATAATTTGGCTGCTAATTTAAAAAAAGATGACTTATCTGTCAAGTAGCTAGCAGATTACTGTTACATTCACTTCATTGCTCTCCATTACTGCTTCAAGGCTAATTTGAAGGATTCTGTGGTTTGTGTCAGAATTAATGTGACGTTATTTTTGCCACTAAGTTGATGTGTGAGGTTTCGCCTTTTCGGTCTCGCTGCTTCTGCACATTCCTGTTATTCGTGTGACCGTTCACCCATCTGTAACAATGCTTTTCTCCCTCCATTCGGAAGGTCACGTGGTGAAGTGTAACAGGTTGTCAGCGGTTCTGCCTGGGGGTTCAGCTGGTGATGTCACGGGTCTCCACCCCCCCTCCTCCAGGGGAGATGTCCTGTGGACCTGTGGCTGAAAGCTGGTGCTACACACAGGTAAATCATATATTTACCTGCTGTGCTTGTGTTCCTTTCTCTGGACAACAGGTGGTATATTGATTTCTGTTTTTAAATGCATCAAAAGGTGGAGTATGTTGGGTGATATTTAGTTCATTTTGAGTAGTTTATTTTTAATGCTTACCAGATCAGTTAAAGGTAACTAACCGAAACTTCAGTGACTGCTGTGACTTATTTGCCCTGTGAGGAACTGTCCGTGGTGAACTAAGATCCAGTAGGTTGCTTCTCTCTTTGGGTGGGTTCTGACTCTGGAGTTGCATCATTCAATGAATATTCCAGTTTTCCAGAGACCAGCACAAGCTGGTTGCATGTCCCGTCTGGGTTATGTTATGGCAGTTAGGCAAGTGCTGTGCTGCATTCAAGGTGTGTGTCTGTGTGTGTATTTTGAGTTTGACCTTTCTTTGAAAAGTGTTCACCTGAGTGACATTTCACAAGCTCTCAGAGTAGGTGCTTCATGACTCAAGTACCACTGGCAGAGACGAGTAGCTGTGAAACTGTGAATCCAGTTGCAGATTCCAGCTCATTCCTAGAGCCTCCAGTCATGAACAGTGTCTGTCTGATGTAAAACACTGTTTTTTAGCAGAATCCCTCTTTTGCTTTAGTAAATCTAGTGAAAATATAAAAGCATTGGGTTTATTGAAGGACCTTTATTCTGGGTCAGAGAGGTGATTATTCATCTAATATTTGTAGACAAGACTGAACTGATTGTGTGTCTGTTAGTGGAACTTATCTATTGGTACTCTGCCTGCTTCAGAAATCCCTTGTGTAATATGAAGTGGCAGGGAAAGTGCGGAATAATTTCTATTTACTACTTGCATTGTAACCTAAATAAATGCTCTTTCAGTTAATAGTTAATTTTCCTTTTAACCTTATTCTTGACTGTAGCCTGTACACAACTTTAACGAGGCCTCATTTCTGCAGTCTTCTCTGGTACCATCTGAGCATCTTTGATATAGTGTCTCTGTTTTTTGGCCCAGAAGGGTTATTTTTTTTTTGTAGGTTTATAGGTGATATAGTGGCTTCCTTAAAATGATGGAATATTGTGATTTTCTCTGAGAAGTTTTTCTTTTTTTCCCTCCCTCACCACTTTAAGGTTAAGGTAGTCAAGTTTTCTTACATGTGGACCATAAACAACTTCAGTTTTTGCCGGGAGGAGATGGGGGAGGTGCTGAAGAGCTCCACGTTCTCATCAGGCCCCAACGACAAGATGAAATGGTGAGGTCCTTTTCATCTGACCCATGCTAGCGATTGCAGTGTTCTAGAAACTGAGACCAGATTTACTTCAGTTTTACATCTTAATAGAATATTGTCTGTTTGCCTGCAGCTTTATGATGGTATATATTGTTAGTTAAATTATTAAAAACTAATTATCTTCTTGTCATTTCGTCCTTTGAAATTCACATCCCTTTTCCCCTTCTTATTCTCCAGGTGTTTGCGAGTTAACCCAAAGGGACTTGATGATGAAAGCAAGGATTACCTGTCCTTGTATTTATTGCTTGTTAGTTGTCCAAAAAGTGAAGTTAGAGCAAAGTTCAAATTTTCTTTATTGAACGCAAAAAGAGAAGAAACTAAAGCAATGGGTAAGATGCATCCGAATGACAGTCGGCACACTGATCACTGTGCATAAAATACTGATAAACCTTGATACTTGCTGTTTGTAAATCAACTGCATCATGAGGTATTTGTTTGCTCTGAAGACTTCTGTTAAAGCAAACAGTCTCACAAATGAATGCTTCATTTTTCCTGTAGAAAGCCAAAGAGCTTATCGATTTGTACAGGGGAAGGATTGGGGGTTCAAGAAGTTTATTAGAAGAGACTTCCTGCTTGATGAAGCGAACGGACTCCTTCCTGATGACAAGCTGACGCTGTTCTGTGAGGTAACCCATGTTTCCCAAAATGCAATCCCTCGTGTTTTAGTTTCTCAGAGTAAATGGAAAGGGTTTTGTACGTACATTTTACATTTTCTCGTGTTTTGCTTGCGTTCCTCTATATTTGTTTCCGTATTGAAGTGTAGATGTTACTTGCACAAGGTGCATGCTGCTTCACAGCATAATTGTACATTTCATCGCCACAAAATTGCATCTATTTTTAGCTTGTCCTGGGATCATGCTAATTTTCTGTATGTTCAAGCTCTTACTGTTAAATGTGCAAAACATTTCTGCGACTACAAAAATTCATTATATAGCTTTAATTGAAGCTGTTAAAATCATTTTGAAAGGCTCCCCTTAGTGTTTCCACGGAGGGGGTGTATTTTAACGCCACCCTGAGAAGGCAGGTTAAATCTGCTCTTCTACGAGTTTCAAATAAACACAATGTTCAGGGTATGAAAGAGGAGAGGAAGCTTCTAAAAGTACATCTGACGAAGTCTGTAAGACGGTTTAACAACATTTTCTGGGGAAATTGGCAATTTCTTAAAGCCGATTAGCTACAAATTGAAGATGGAATATCTTTCGTCATTAATTAAAGATTTGCCAGGGAACTTTAATTAATTTTTTTTTTATGAAAATTGCCTGCATCATAGGAATTCTCACGTTTGTTTTCTTTCTGTTTTGACTAAACCTTTTGCATTTCGGTTCATAAATTTCCTGTAGAACATTGCAAAGGAGGAAACATTAATTACAAAGTTAACACTGCAGTACTGTTGTGTATAACTGTCTCCTGTGGATGTTTGCGGGCAAATTCTCCTGTATACTTGTCCTCTTTCAAGGGGGACATTTTTCCTGGCTTCACATGTCCTTAGGTTTTTTTGGTGGGAGTTTCCCACTATGTTGGCTTGTCCACTGGCAGTAACCGACCCATACTCAAGCTATACTGCGAAGAGAAGGCTGGTTACAGCGCGTTTCCAACTCGCCTTAGTTTTCCACTGCAGAAGGGACAGCTTGATAAAGGCGTCATTGAGTTCGGAGAGTGACAGTGGCATAAAACCGAAGACGCGCTTTTTTTTTTACTGTTCTCACGGTGCACATCCAGATTTACTATTTGCTTATTTCTGCTTGCAGGTCTGTGAGAATTGCCATGTTATGCAAGTATCAAATCCTAGCAGAATTAGCATTTGCTTGCTTGTATTTGCATTAAAAATCCATTCCGTTCAGCTGTTTTGTAGTATTTTAAGTAGGAGGTTCGAAATTTTAAGTTCCGAGTTATCAGGAATGCATTAATACACCCCAATGTGCGGTACTACTAATAATGAATAATACATAAAATATAGACTTCTTCCTTCAGATGATGCATGTACAAAACACCAGTATCTCCATGCATTTCGACCAATCGTGTGACGCTGCCAGCTCGGCTTGGTCACGCTTTCGGCCCCGCTAGTGCCATGTCAGCATGGTTATGGCTCGAGTATGGCTTGCGTACTTTGCAGTGTGCGGCACAGCTCTGGTACGGCTCAGTTCTTGGTAGCAGAGTAAAAGCGCCGTATGCTGTGCATCGTGTGGCAATATTCTATAATAGGCTTTAGCTTCTGTACGTTGATCCTGCTTTCAAGCTTCCAGAAGTTGGGCCAAAAGTAACTGTAAAGAGTGCATTCCCGGGTTTGTGGCTTGTTTTATTTATAATGGGATTCAACAAGGAATAGCTGCATCACCAGAAAATACTGCAAAAAATCAGAATGATGATGAAATGACATGCACTAAAGCTGAATGTTTTCAGATGCTCTTTCCAGACAAATCATGACACATCGCAATGTGTTAGTGGCAGCATAGTCAAGACATGATGTCCACTTGCTGGACAGACCCCTCTCTCTGTGGTTCTTTGCAATTTATGGTTCTATTGCACAGTTGTTTCTGTGTGTCGTTTGCTCACCCTTTTTATAAGGGACTATTTTGATATGCTGACATCAGCAGAAAATGTCTGCAAGTCCGCCTATGAGTCATGCTGTGGGGAAACGGTGCTCATCATATTTGTTCCCCCGGTGTGAGGGAATCTGTCGGACGCTAACCGGTAAAATATATAATGCATATTGTAGGTGAGTGTGGTCCAGGACTCTGTCAACATCTCCGGCCAGTCCAACATGAACGTGCTGAGGGTTCCGGAATGCCAGCTGTCGGATGACCTCGGTAACCTGTGGGAGTGTTCACGCTTTACCGACTGCAGCCTCTACGTGGGAGGGCAGGAGTTCAAAGCACATAAGTCCATATTAGCAGGTATGCCCCTCCCCAGGAGCTCTCCTCCATTCCCCGTCAGTGAGTGAGGTAGGCGGGGTGGTGAGACCGGGAGTTCTGGGTGTGCTCTCTCCATCCTTGTCAGCACAGCTGTATAATTAAATCATCCTCTGCGGAGGAACTGTCACCCAGCAGCCTGTCACATGGACACACAGGCGAGCAGGGAGGGGGTCCTCCAGAGCTGTCATCTTATATCTTGCATCATTTTCTCCGGTTATTTATAGTACTGGTTTGAGTAGTTATCACTTTTAGCATAATTGTGAGTTATGCGGAAATGGTATGGTTTGTGCCTGACAGAAAGGGGGCCATCTTAAAATCCACGGTATCTGAAAACCTTGTTAAAGTTTAGCTATATGTCACCTTTTGTATGTCTTGATTTGTGAATGTGTTGCTTATGAAGAGGTTGCTTGAAATCGGTTTGGAAGTTGTATTAGTGGGAAGATGCTGCTCATGAGGTTTTGACACAATTTGTTCTCTGGTTGGCAGCGAGATCACCGGTCTTTAATGCGATGTTTGAGCATGAGATGGAGGAGAGTAAAAAGGTAAGGCTATAAACTGAACATTCGGGATTGGCAAACCCTGTGGGTCTAAGTACAGAGAGGTGGCAGATCCTCCTGCTAACGTGTCGGGGCTTCTCTCAGAACCGAGTCGACATCAGTGACGTTGACCCGGACGTCTTCAAGGAGATGATGGGCTTCATTTACACAGGAAAGGCGCCAAATCTGGAGAAGATGGCCGATAACTTGTTAGCTGCAGCGGACAAAGTGAGTCGCGGGGAAGTGGGGAGGGACTTTCGTGTGCGATCTTAACTTCGATCTGTAAGCGTACGCAACCACCATAGGGAGGGGCGACCTCGTTTTCGGTGAGCAGCGGAAATTATTGCAAACTTCCTGCTCTCCGAGTTGGTTCTGTATTTGACGACAAAATTATGCTGCTGGCTGGAATTCCCAGTTTTTAGCTGACGTGCACTTCTGAGACTGGTTCAGTGAGTGTCTAATCCATTGGGTTGTTCGTACTGTTAACTAAAGCGAAATCCCACGTTTTTGTGGTCTGGGACTCCAATGCCCATCTTTGAGTGGCGAGCTTGGGTTATGTGGAATTAACATTGTTGACATTCACCAAGCAATATATAGCCAGCTAGTTTTTAAACTGAAATATTTCACACTGATTTTTGGGTAACACTTTACATTAACTGCACCTTCATAATGCTTTTATATTGCATTCATAAAACATTCAGTGCACCTTCATAATGTATTCATGAAGTATTTATAAAACATTCATAAATGTCATGTATGTATACCTTAACATCCTAACATCCCTTAACAGCTGTAATATACATTAATGACAAACATTATATAATAATAACAAACATTAGAATTGTATAATCATGTAATATTTATGTATATTAAAGCTGTTAAGGGATGTTAAGGTGTACTTGCATACTGCTTGTGAATGTTCTATGAATGCATTATGAAGCTGCACTGAATGTTCTACGAATGCATAATAAATGCATTATGAAGGAGCACTGTATATCCTTACTGATATTTGTATATTCCTTTTCTTCTCCACCATATGGTTTATGAGCCCCTGAGAATCTCGGAGACATAGTCCCGCCAGTTTCGGTACCTTCGGCGTGTCTTTCAGATTTTTAGCTTTCGTCAATTTGAGTTTGTGAAACTCTGTTCCCTACCCCATCCCACCCCCTCACCCCACACACCCCTTTAACCAGTATGCCTTGGAGCGGCTGAAGGTCATGTGTGAAGAAGCCCTGTGCAGCAGCCTGTCCGTGGAGAACGTGGCCGACATCCTCATCCTCGCCGATTTGCACAGCGCTGAGCAGCTCAAAGCACAAGCCATAGATTTTATCAACAGGCGAGTCCCAATAACATTCTCCCCACTGATGATATTCCCAGTTTTTTCCTTAATGCTTTCGAATACAACTTCGTTTTTTCCTCCCGTCTATAGGTGCAGCGTTTTGCGACAATTGGGCTGTAAAGATGGGAAAAACTGGAACAGCAAGTATGTAATTAGCTGATATGTATGATGCATCATTAATAACACACTTATCTGTTGTGCTGAGGTGCATTTCAATGCGTTTAACGTACAAAATGGATGGTCTGGCTTTGCCGTTTGATAGGTAGAATCCATATCTCTGTATCAGTGTCACTAATGAAATAATACCGGAATATTCTTTGGAGAGGTTTGTTTTGACTGCAGAGAAATTGAAAGTCACAGTAAGGTAACCTCATTTGATCTAACCAAGATATTTCTTTCTGTGATGACTAGCACTGTGAGATATCAGCGGCCAGGAACCATGACTAGTATTTCAATTTGGCCAGTGGAGTGCCGCCCCCCCACCCCCCTTATCAGCTGCCAGTGTCCTCCCCGGAGTAAACAGCTTCACCAAGCACAATTTCTGGAATCATTCCCTGTGACTTTAGAGAAGTTAATAGGCCGGGATTGTGGGCCCTAACTGAACAACAACAACTTATAATCGATCTTTTGTTGTTCTGGTCATTAACTTGCATGAGCGTTTATCATAATTGCCTATTAATGCAAATAGTTGTATATTAGCATATTAATGCTTCCATTTTTTTTTTTGTAGTCAAGCGACTGACATAATGGAGACTGCAGGCTGGAAATCAATGATCCAGTCCCACCCTCACTTGGTGGCAGAGGCCTTTCGTGCCCTGGCGTCTGCCCAGTGCCCGCCCTTTGGCCTGCCCAGGAAACGCCTAAAACAGTCCTGATTGGTCCACTTTCCTGAGAGACTCTTACTGGAACGAATCATAATGGATTGTGATGTTGGGGGCATCAACCCCACCCCACCCCTTCCCCCCACCACCAGCACCACCAAAAATGGGCGGAGCTTGTTTGTTTCATGTCCAACCCAATTGTTTGCTCTTCAGGGGCTGGGAAATGCGGGAAAGAAACACTGGTTTCTTCGGATTTTGGAAGAGTAACCCCCCCTTCCCCCAACCTTCTCCTTTGTTTGGTCCGCAAGCTTTATTTTGCAATGTTTTCAGTAAAATGGCCTTAATCTAATGCCATTGCTCAAGAGTTTATATTGTTATTTCTGTATTTAACTGTGTGCCTGCCTTGGCAAAGATTCCAGGCCTCCTCCAGATTGCACTAGTTCCCATAATGCTGTAGTTTTAATATGAAGTTCTATAGGAACCTGTCATTGAATATTTAATTAATGGGAAATATTGTATATCATTTGTTTAGCATCTTCTGTGACTAGACATTATGAAATTGTGACACATTTTCTTCTATTTACTATTTTCAAATATATGCCCCATATTGATGGCACCGTTCATGTATTAAGAAAAAAAACTCGTTTACCATTTTCAAAAGGCAGGTGTTGAAGTAGAATAAATGGGAAAAAAAATACTTGTAAAATGCATTATGAGAATTTATGTGATGTTGGATTTAACATGATGAACTTACCGTTTTGTATATTGTACACCTCAGTATCAAGGGTAAACATGCAGGTTTGTTTACTGTGAGGTTTGACTTCCAAGGTGATGTCACACGTATGACGACCCCCCCCCCCAACCCCTTCAGGTTAACGGAGTTTGTTCATTAGTCATTTCAGGTTGACTTCCCCGTTCTTTAAGTGGCACGGTTTTCTGGAATTTTTATGAACTGCTGTGCCGTTGCCATGAATGAGAACAGGGGGTTGCGATCAGTCTGAAGGAACAATCGGTATACCTGTCCAACCCCCCCCACCCCAACTTACATGAATGTTCATGTAGGGACGGGAAAACAATAAATTGAGTTAAATGGTCATTTAATCTGTGTTTGAAGAAGGAAAAAAAAGGCACAATGTCTTTTGAAGACGGGGAAGCCAGAGTGCAGAGCATCTCTGTCCCATAGCGTCAATGTACGTCTTCGAAGGCCAGAATCTTAAATCCACGAAGGAGAATGATCTGCTGCTTTTATTTGCAGTGTAATGGCATCTGGCGTAACTGCTGTAATCGAGTGGTGGCAACCCGAGCGTTCATTCATTCATTCATTCATTCATTCAGTCGTCCTGCTTTTTGATGGTGTTTTGTCACTAAAAGTGTCAGTGTTTGTCACAAGGTTTTTTTTTTTTTGGATCCCTCCCTTCCTCAGCTGGTTTGTTTTGTAATCAACTTATTTCAGCGTTTTCTGTGCTGAGACTTTTTGTCCTCTGGGGTAACTTTACTCCAGTGATGTTTTAAAAAAAAAAGAAAAGCCCAGCGTGATAGCTCCTTTCTCCAGTTTTTTGTTGCATACCCCCCCCCCAACCCCCACCCTTCCGTTTCTGTATCTCCTCAATCCTGTGCTCCTCTTCTATGTACAATTTCTCAGCCAGACCTGTACCAAAGCAAACGTACCTCCCAGAGATGAGCTGCTGCTGCTGTACTTTGGTAGATTACCATCCACAATATATATGTGTGTCTTACACGGTGCATGTGTCGACGTGCATTGCACAAGTCCTTAGAATTAAAGGGATGTCGCAGTGAATTCCGTTTCCTAGCTAGAAACGCAAACTATTTTTGAACTGGGCATTAAGGTCTTTTGTTTCACAGACACAAGCTTTGATATGCTATTTATGAACGAGAGCCACACCTGTCCGTCTTACAACAGTGCTGTTCCTGGCAGTATGATCCCTGCTACTCTCGCCTTCCACCTTCCTGCTTTGATTGTTCCAGTCATTTCACTTTTCACACTTACTTTTTTTTTGCAAATTCTTTGATCTAATTGGAGAGGCTGAAAATGAGTGATATATATTTTCAACTGAAGCAGTGTTAGCCCGTGTTTTTTCTTTTTTGTATGTTTTAACATTTTCTGTACTTTGTCGTTTTCACCGAATGGTTCTGATCATACAAAGAAAACAAATCAAAGCAAACTCACTGATCAATTGACGCATGGTGTATTATGATGGCTATAATATATTTCCTTTGTCCAGTTAATCAGTTAATTTGCTGTTTGCAAATGTACCCATGTAAGTCATATGTCTGCTGAACAAATCCTTAAAGTGTGTTACTGATCAAATCTCTGTCTTTATTTTCAATTCTGTTTGAGTTCATACTTGTTCACATAATGGATATCATTCATTACACTCAGAAAAGCTAGAGGTGGTGTTTGCTGTGTACTGCACGTTAACTCCTGAGTTAAATGTTTCTTCATGTCACATGGGAATCATGAAAAACACACACTCACAAAAGATCAGATTTTTCTAGGACAAATATCCATGAACACTTCGACCAAAGAGGCTGCGTTTGGTGTTAGGGCCATGTAATGTTTGTGTCCAAGTGAGTCCTTCAAGAGGCGCTGATTTCACACTGTAAGGGGGTTCCATTGACGTCAATGGAGTGCCAATTCAAATGTAACTACAAAGAGCAGGGATGTGATCTCTTATTGACTAGACCCATTTCACTGGTCTGTAATGTACAATTGGTGTGTAATGTTTGCTTTAGTTTGTCGATGCCCTTGCTGCCTTCCTAGATTCATGTTGGTAGTTCTGAACTATGTTAGCACATTAACAGTCATCTCTGCCCATTTTTATACCCCAGTATTGCCCTTAATATTTTACTCTTCATAGTAAGAACTTTGCTTTTGGGAATATTGTAAATAGTTTTATTTGAGCAGCCAGTGATGAGGTGTTTGATTTTTTTTTTTGTTTTGTTAAGAGCAGAGGTGAACATTTTGAAATATTTACCACTAGTGAATCAGCAGATGCTGAAAAAAATGCTGTGATTTTTTTTTTTTTTTTTAAATGGTAGCCTAAACTAACTGAAGACTGTTTTCATCGCCACTCTAAAAAAAAAAAAATAAGGAAAACATTGATGCCTTCCTGTTTTTGACAGTTTATACTTAGCATTTAATCGCTCTTCCTCCCCTCATGTCCTGAAGTAAAACGATTGTGGCGTTTCTGTGTAGCCTTCATTGAATCTCCGTGTGTGTTCAGATACAGCTCTAACTCCGAATGTGTGACCAAAAATACAGAAACTGTCAAAATATAGTTTTATATGCCTAGTGGTAGCAGCTGGGTCATGGTGTTTTTTTGCCGTTTATGGTTGCCATAATTTTGGTGGGAGTGTCTTGCCCTATCCATTAAAATGGTCACTTTTTGCTTACTGTTTGGTTAAACGGCACACGACACGATAATACCATCCACTGGTTTTGAAGACTTGCCTTTCTCCTCATCAGCTAGTGGTGCGTGGCTGGTTTGAGCCTAAGGGATGCTTATAGAATGAAGGTTGTTTCCCAGACAACTGATGTACCTGGACTGACACAACTTTAACTGCTTGTTTGTTCAATTCACACTATGTTGGTTATTTTAAATCTCGGTTGCATCCACTTTATCGAATGTCCAAAAATACCCTAGACTGATTTTGAGTGTTTGTGTACATGGAAGAACGCGTTCTTGGCCCATTCAGTCATCTGTAACAATTCAGAAAATAAATGTAATAAACATTTTTTATTGCACTCAGTCTCAAGTGTAAATTTGTAGTCCGTGGTTATTTTCAGATAAATGACTCGAAGAAACCATGTTGTAGTAATAAGAAATGCCTCATGTGTTTCCATTAGTCAGATTTTACAGCTGATTTTATAATGGGCACTGATTAAACTGGAGGTTTTGGTCATGAGACCCCGAGCACAAGAACTCCGCTGATACACCAAAAATTTTCTAGCATGTTTGATGAATTATTTCTTAATATGTGGTAATGATTTAAACCATCACCACTGAATCTCCCATTCAGTTGTACGGTAGTCCTGAGTCAAGTCAGTGATCTAGTCGTAAAACAGATTCAAACTCAAATTTCATGGAAATGGAAATGACTGTGGATGTCTTATTTCCTCCTGAAGTGTCCATTAAATACTGACATCTTGCTTTTTTTTTGCTCCTAGTTGAAACACTGGGCCCTAAAAATCAGCCTTTTGAGTTCCAAGTCGTTGAGTAATTAGCGAGCAACACGCTTCCTCAGGGGCTGGAGCTGTCAGGGATGTTGGCCATGCTGCTGGCATCGCGTTGCTGCTAGACCGCCTTTCTTGCCGGCTAACAGGAAGCTCCCTGTACAGTCTTGTTACCGAGCGATGCTTGCTTTGCGTCATAATTGCGGCCCTAAAACGGGAACAGAAATGTTTTAAACACCTACGCGAGATCAAATAAGGTGTCATGTTTGTACAGATGGCTGTAAAGAACAAAATACTGCTTTATATTTTAATTAATGTTCCTGTGGTGTAATTAGCTATCTAGTGGCTTCCTTTCCCAGCTACTCTATTCTCTGATCGTTAAGTAAAACCGCTTAAATACTGAGTTGGTATGGATGAGTCCCAGGGAGTGTGCAATTAACACACTGAGCATTTTTTGTTGTGTGTGTGGATCGGCTTAATTATTTTGGCTGCACACTTACTGGTTTATGCTTTAAAGCCTGTAACAGTGCAAAACCTTTCCCTGAACTGTACCACAAACAAGATTTTCCTTAAATTCAGATATACTGAAATAACCATATTTTGAAGTTCCTTGAAAACATATTTAGATATTATTTTTGTGTTAAATGAATGGAGTTTTTACCAATATGTGATTCTGTTTTGGGGTCAATTAGAGGGAATCATTCTAGTGTGGCTTCGTTCTCTGTAGCTAGTGGTAAAGGGTCTGTTTCTGTGGGACCTTTTGGAATAAGTGCGGTTGAGGCCAAGTTAGGAAAGCAGTTATAGGAAATTTACACAACTTGAGTTTCACGGGATTCAAAACCATTAACAAAAGCTGCTTAAGTAGCTACTAATCGGACATACTGCAAAGTGATAATTACTGTAAAATGGAAATTATGGGTCTATGCCTTTGCCATAATTTGTAACAAGCATTTGCATTATATTGAATTGCTAAAAATATATATATATTCAATGTTTTTTTTTCTTGTCGTTGACTGGCACATTGTACTGTTAACATAGACTGTAAGGTGAGAAAATATAGCTCATTGAGGACACCCAAGGTGATCTGGTAAGGGTAATGTAGGCACGAGAGATCTCATTTCTATCTTAAGGTTTACTGAGTTTGGTTGACGTTACTATTTATGTTGAAAGGATCTCTCAAACCGAATTCATGCTGTCCATCTGTGTTGTGTAGACACCACAAAGGTGGTGTAGTAACCTGTTCTCTTGATTTTCTTTGCAAAACAATTTTCAAATGAAATTTTTATCAAATTGTGCAGATGGCTTTTAATGATGCAATTATCAATGTCAAATACACAAACAAAACCTAAACTTGAACAAAATATATCCATTTTCAGGGTAAACATCAAAATAATCCATCGGTGTCTATGCATAGTGTCTACCCATAGTTTTTCAAGAAAGAAAAATCACATTGAAACAGGCTACCATTAAAACTTACAATGAACTAATTTTACAAATAAAATTTGCTTGAATACTTTGTATTAATTGCCTCACCTACCGTCCACAGGGATATGATCACCAACAATAACTGAAGTGTTGGAACATCTAGAAACTGAATGACACTTTTATACACACAAATTCCAAAAGTGAACAGTTACAGGTTTGTTTTATAAATATACTCAAAACATGGTGTATTTTTACAAAGAAAGAAAAAAAGCTGTAAGCACTGATAAATGGAAATATAGTCTTGGTCACATTGTTGTCATTCTGTAATGTGAAGTTGTTTTGACTAGGAATGTTTTAGGAACCAGTTTCATGACAAAATATTTACTATTCAGGCCATGATTTCTTTTATGAAAGGGTGTTGATTTTGCAGTGGTATCTGTCTTATGTTCAGTCACAAGATATCAAAGTCATTATCTTGTTAATATAAAAATAACGCTGTAAGTCAACAGGAATGCAAGTGGTTTGCTGTGCAATGTACACTATCTCTGCTGGAATGCTTCTTAAACACATAAAGATTTCCATCCAATTGCAAATACAATCAGCTACTTTATTAGGTATTCCTGCCTAGTGCCAGAAAGGACCCTCTTTTGTTTATAGAACTTCCCGAATTCTTCAAGGAATGAATTTCACAAGATGCTGAAAACTTTCCTTATGGAATTTGGTCTATACCTTTTTTTGCACTTATAACCTTCCTGTTAGCTTTGAGTATGGCCACTGACCTCTCTCATTAACAAGATTTTTCCTTCAGAACAGCCATCCTTTTTGCATTTTGCACCAAACTCTGTAAACTCTAGACACCGTGATACTTGAAAATCCCAGAATGGTGGCTGTTTTTGAGAAGAGGGAAGCACCATGTTTGGCACCAACAATAATATTTCAATTTGCTTAGATCATGAATACTGCCTACTATTAAGCTTTGTCAAAAAGTAACCGAAGCTCTTGATTCCATGCTGTATGAGTTGAGTCTTAGCCACATGCTTCTGTCTGAAGGAGAGGGTGTCCCTAATGCAGTAGCTGCTTAACGTACATGTGAAGTTAGAAGGTTTGAGCCTAAATTAGTCTGCAGGTCAAGCCTGGATAAGTAACCTGAAACTTTGACTGGCAGCTATAATTACCAAGCAAAATAAAAGCTGCTTGAAACCACAGAATGTCTGTGGGGCTACAGAACAAGGTCCCTTGCAGCCAAATATCTACTGACAAAAAACAAGGAGGTTTTTTTTTAAAGTTCTGCTCATGGCACCTTCAGAAGACAAGCATCAAAGGAAATTACAAATGGGTACAACCTCAATATTTTCTTCTTCTTCTTCTTAATAAGGATTGGCAACTAGATTATTCATGCTAAGAAAGGAAAGAGATGACTTATTTAAGGAATACGTTTTCATGAATTTTCATGAAGGTATTAATATTGTTATCGCAGACACAATCACATCAGAATTTAGACATGTTTATGTGTATTCAACAAACTTATGCTAGCAAGTTCAACAAACATTGTCAGATACTGGTTTCTTGAGTCACAATGGCCAGTCATATATCCCCTGTCCAGTAAGTGAAGGTGTGGGAGGATGATGGTGTTAGATCTACTGGCAGAATTACGGTCCGTCCATTACTTCAGTATCCGGAGCAAGTCTTGAACATAGAACACATTTATG